CATCATATGGAAGTTTCATCATACAAATCGTACAAAAGTATGAACTTAATCTTAAACATGGTTTAATTAAAATAAATTAGATATTTGCAATTTACTAAACAGAAAGCAAGAAAAAAAATTTGGCAAGAATCAAATATTGTGAGTTTGCATTGAAAAAAATTTTAATCAAAAACCCAATTATTTTGAAATAAATATCCAATTTTTAATTTTTCCTAACATTTTTTTACTTGATTGTTAAGCAAACTATTGTTTTAATAGAATTTCTCACCTTTTATTTAACAGTAATGTGAAAATTTTTAGATTATAACATGTGATTAACATGAAGGCATCAATACCTAATTCTTGATTATCTCATTATTCTTAGAAAGCATTCTACAATAATCAAATATAATATACGAGTACTTACCCAATTAACAAACATACATACATATATATTATATTAAAAAACAAATAAATATTCATAATAAAATTTACATATTTTAATATATAATTTCGGGTATCCGAAGATTATTATTCTCTTCTTGCAAATTTCTACTTTTCATTATGAATAAAAGGACACATTTATAATATCGTTTGAATTAAATTCATGCGATAATAATTAGTGAAAAAAAGCGAAATCAAGAAAAATTAAAATGAAAGGTAAGCTAAACCAGATTTCCATTTGAACCATGAAACTAAAAAATTTTGAAACATTAGTAATTCTTAGTATTAATGGCATTCTCTTGAATTAAAATCATTATTTCGACTTTTTTCCTCTTTTTTGTTTTCCTGCTGATTCCAAATATACTGTAATACAAAATAGAATTTATGTGATTGGATTTTCAAATAAAGTTTTTTGTTGAATACCTACAACCAAAAAAAAACAAAAAATAAAACAAATTGTTACAAAATTTCCAAATCTATATTGGCTTCAGGCTTTCTTTTCTTATAAATACATGTGTATGTATGTGTGTATAGAATTTCGAAGAAAATACAAAATCAATGGAAATTCAAGAAAAAGGAAAAAATTGAAAATATAATGAATATTTTCATCAGCGAGGTGACAATAAAATAACTTTTTCTTTTGATTTGCTTTTCTGACTGGAACGTGATGATTTTCCGATTTTATTTTCTGTTATTAAAAGGTGCGGTATATAATGTACCTGCAATATACCTATGCATATATAAAAATATTTAAAGAATTTTAAAGATTTTTTTTAAATGATTGATTTTAAATCTTTGAAAATTTGTCAATTTATTTTTAAATAAAACCATTCTATGGGTATTACATAAAAGATACTGTGATTTTTTTCCTCCTGTTAAACTAAACCTGTTATTTTATAGTGTTAAATAATATTATAAATTTATGTAAGTCATAATTTTTATTTTAGAGAATAGCTTATCTATTGTTTTTAAAAAAGAGAAATAGAAATTTAGTAAAATAGGCTTACAATTGTGTTTAAATAGAGTTTCTATGCGTAAATTGTATTCTTTCTTTGTGTAAAATGAAAAATAAAAGTGTGAACAATAAATGTGGCAAAATCTTCTTCCAAACCGAAGAAATTCTTAGTCATATACAATTGTGAATAGAAATTTAGCTTTTTATGTCAAAAAACTTAGAAATTTTGTTAACAGATACACGATAGAGAGCTTTTATTACAGGCTTTTTTATAACATTGATATAACAAACAAAAATGTCAATAAAAACAAATTCTTGGTTTACATATTATCGACCGCATTGCATACAATAAAAGAGCTTATGTGATGGCAACAAATTTCGCATGTCGCATTTTCGGCGAAAATTCTTTTCTTTATGTTAAGGTAGCGTAAATAAACTAATTTTAGAGAGATTTTTGTCAGTCTATCAGTTTGCACAGATCAGTATCTCAAGTTCGGCTGAACCGCTTTTCACCTAAATTTATATTTAAGTTCGTTTTAGGGATGCGACTGTTTAATCTTATGATGTCAAGTCTGGGAACTGATTCTTCACTATGAGTTAATTTTTAGTTTATGATCATTGTTAAAAAAGTGTTCGACAGATTAACTTGAATTTCAGTGTGTTAAAACAATAAACCTGATATTTTAGGTTTGAATCTCATCTTGGTGGAAAATGTTTCAAAAGATTTTAGCCCCAACTATAAAATATATAACTATCAAAGAAAATAATATAAGAGTTTATAATATCTTACTTCTGCTTTAAAAAAAAATTTCATTTATTGTGCTACTATGGTTATGAAAAAATATTTTTTAATAAATTCATTTTGCAACAATGTTGAACCTTCTGCCACTTACTGATATAATATTATGTTGTTTCTCCATTCAGAATAAACTCTTTATAAAAATTTTTCAATTTAATTTTTCAATTTTAATATTTGTATACAATGTAGCAATATACATATATATATATACATAATTAAAAATTCAATTATATAATTTATTTGATCTTTTGTATCTTAATAAAATATTTTTAATTGGAATGTTTTAATTTATTTTTTCGTTTTTAAAATATAATGTTACTACCTAGCTCTTGTTGACCTATTTATAATTACGTCATTTTATTTTAGGTTTTATTTTACTCTAAAATTTTACTTTGACACAAAAATTTTTTAATTTATATTAGTTTTTAAACTTGACTTCAAAAGTAATTAAAATTTACAATTAAAAAGTTTCTACTTTTTTTAACTTTTTATAAAATATTTAAACAATTGAATTAATACAGTTGAAACTGAACAATAGGTACTACAATACGGTAATACAATAATCTGAAATTCAAGTTAAAAAATTATTTTGACGGCTCTTTAAATTTTCTGACTATAATAGTCTTTATTTTATTTAAGTATTTATTTTTCTTCTAAAATAAATAAATTTTTTCTGAAACTGAACTTATTTTAGTGAAACATGTTTACGATTACCTCTCCAAGTAAATTTCTTTATTTTTTGAGAAAACAATTTTGATATAACATAAACCTTAAAATTCCAGCAAAACTAAAATTGAAACAAATATTCCAGTTAAATGAAAATTGCTCATGCTCAGGTTCCACTGTATTTAATTATACCCAGATATACATTTTTCATTGTATAATTTTAAATTTTTTATAAACGTTCTTATTGGATATAAATTTTGACTAAAATATTATAGTACTTAATTATATAAAAAAATATGTACATACATATGTATATATTTTATCATAACGGAATTTATTTGCGTTTTCTATAATCCTTAAAATATGCAAAATCTCACGTAAATTTAGTTATACATGTATATATATATATAAATGTACAATACTAATAAACAAATATTTTGAAAGTAAATTCAGGGAAAAAGCCATGATAAGCAATTCTATTGAGGAAAGTTAAAAGCCATTTCCACCACAAAAACAGAAACCAAAAAAAAAGAGGAATAAATTAAATGTTAATATTATTGTATAGATACAATTATTCTACTTGAATTATTTTTATGAAAATTTTTGTATAAGGCAATGTTTTTTTAAATTTTGTCTCCAAATCTGAAAGTTTTTTTTTAATTATTTGTATTTTATTCTGTGCTTATAATCGCATAAAATATTGAGATTCATAGATTCCTAGTAAATTTTGCTATGTCCTTTTTAAAATAATGTTGGAAATGATTTATGAAATATCTCATATACGTAGTTTCGATAGTCAAAAAGCGAAAGTTTTCAGGCAATATTTAAATATTTCATAATTTTTATTTCAATAGTTTTTTATTTATTGCGTACATAACCTTTAATTTATCATAGTTTTTAAATTAATTATTTGTACTAGCTACCTACTATTATATCCAATTATAAAATAAAGTTGGGTCAAACCAATGGTTTGTATTGTAGCACTTTTCCCTTCAACAAGTGAAAATTCTGCTTTAAATACAGTCTATATGCATACCTATCACACCATTAAAATTATTTTCATTCATATTTAACTATTTCTGGGATTGCATATATTTAGGATGATGCATTCATGCAGTCTTTGAAATAAAGCAAAAATTAATATAAAGACGGGTTAATATAATGCTCGATTTTAAGGGTTAATTGTGTGAGTTAAGAAAAATAATTATATTTTTTAATGTCACGGAATTTACCTTTTTATTTGAATTTAGCTTTTTATGTTTATAGAAATTTGAAAACGTTTGCGGTTTTTGAAATATAAGGCGCCAAAAATTCAAATTTTACAAATTTCAAGAGGCGATAACTTGAGAGGGGGTGGAGATGGAAAAAAATTTTCTTCTAACAAAATGAACTATTTGTTAATGTCTAAAAGCTCCTAAAATTTCAAGCTTCTACAGGCTGGGGTCTAGAAGAAAAACGAAATCAAAAATTTGGAAAAAATAGACTTTAGATAACGGTAAATTTGAACGGCCATTTTGTTTTTCTAAAGTTTAACTATAGTATATCGCGCTAGGGGAAGCAAGCCGCTGCCTTTATGCGTTTGCAAAATTTCAAAAATGCTTATGGTTTCATTGCAACAAATAGTTAAAAAAGGCCATTTTTAGGGTTTTGGGGGGGTATAACTTCTAGAGGGGGGGGAGATAGGTAAAAATTTTATTCTACGGAAATAAGTTTCTAGCAAAGATCTATGTACATACAAAATTTCAGCTTTCTATCTTCAAGGGTGTAGAAGTTTTGTAAACAGACACACGGACAGACGGACGGACGGACGGACAGAGTGAAACTAATAAGCACTTTTTTTCAAAAATTTTTTGGAAAAGTGCTAAAAAATGAAATTTTATATAATTTTCATTTTTGTATAATTCAATCAATTAAAACAATTACCCATAAAATTATGAAATTCTATAATAGATTTTTTATATGCAAAGTGTATAATTAATCAAAAATCATTAAAGTTTTGTAATTATATTTATGAAGTAGCTATATAACAAAAAACTAATAAATTATAAAAGATTAAATCTATATTAAAATAATGTGTATATAATAATAATAATTATAAAAATCTGAAAGAATATTATATGACAAGATTTAAGGATTAGTCATGAATGAACCGATAAAATGAATGAATATGAAAAATGGCGGCAAAACGATACTATTTATAAATCATTAATTATAAACCCTTTACGTCATAATCATCAACATTTTAATAAGAGAAATAATATTTTTCTACCACAATCATTATTAACGTCATCAACATCATCATCAACATCATCATACTTAACAAGCCAATTAAATGATAGCTATAATAATTATTATGAAAGGAATAATTTAACAGCATCTAAAACAATTGAATTTAATGGTGATATTATAATAAAAAATTTAATTGAGTCAATTATTAATAGAAAAATACAAAATAATCAAAATCAAAATAATAATATCGAGAGTAAAATATTTAATAATTATAGTAGTAATACAGTAATTGCAGCACTTACCGAAAATTTAACAGTTAATGGATTAACAAATTATCATTTGGATAATAAAATTTTAAATCTGGATTTTGATAAAACAAATTTTCATGAATCACTTATTGAACAAAATAATAATAATAACAATAATTATAATGAAGACAATGAAGTTATACAACCTGGATCATTATTATTTCTTATTATAATATATGGTATAATTATATTATGTGGAGTATTAGGTAATGCATCATTGGTAATAACATTATTTTCTACATCATCAATACGTTTACGTAATCCATTATTAATTGCATTATGTATAGCAGATTTATTTGTTTCGGGTATATCAGCTCCAACAACAATTATAACATTGGCATTAACTCAAAAACCATCATATCTATCATTAACTGGTTGCAAAGTTATTTATTATTTACAATCGATGCCAACAGCAGCAAGTACAATATGTTTCCTTATGTTATCTTTAGATCGTTTCATAACTGTACAACATCCTACTATAGCTCAAATAAGACAGAGACGTTATGTTCATACAATATTAGCAGCAATATCATGGTTGGCAGCTAGTTCAGTATGTCTTCCATTTATTTTATTTTATAAATTAACATTAACATCATCATATAGAACCTTAATGAATAATAGAGAAATTTCAATAATTAATCAAGATGATATTAATAAAGATAGTGATGAAATATTTAATTCAATAAAATCATCAAATTTTAATTATTCTTATAATAATTTAACATCAACATCATTTAATGATGATAATGGGAAAGATAGTATAACAAAATCATATATACAAAATTATTTAATGTGTCAACCAGAATATAATTCAAGTCAAATACAAACATCATTTATTGTATTATATACTATAATAGTATATATATTTCCAAGTTTAGGTGTATTAATAAATCATTATGGTGTACGTAGAAAATTATGTGCTTTAAGTTTAACAGCTAGAGCTGCACATGGTGAATTACCACTTCCAATGCCAATATTAAGACGTCCGACACATGTTATTATTGTAACTGGTATGGCAAATGCTGCTCGTGGTGTTGTTAGTGATGACGACGATTGTTCTAATGATGAAGAAAATCAAATTAATGATAAAAATAAAATAAGAGAAAATATGGTCAATATATTAAATCCGAAAACACCCAGGTAAGATTTTTATTTATTTATAAATATTTTTAGTAACATATTGAATGTCATTCTTTTGTTCCCAAAATACTCTATAAAAGTCAATTAAAAATTAAGTTTAAAAGGTTTCAATAAATCTAAAAAAATTTTCACTTAATATTATCGTATTCTTTCAAATTTATTTTAGTAACGGAAATTAAGTCCAATTCATTATTATAACATTTGCACTGTAGGTCCACGCAATAAGTATTTAAGTTTCTATGGTATATACTGGACATTTTCGTAAACAGGCAACTATATAATGATATTTTTGAACCCAATTTCTCCTTTCTTTTCTCAATAAAAATAATTTTTTTTTACTATTACCATAATTTAATTCATCCTTTAATAAATATACTAATTTGTATAATAATATGAAAATATTTTATTACACAAAATATTTAATATCACATAATTACTGTGTTATATAATAAGTGATAATAAAATATGCTTCCATACTTATCATTATTAAAATCATAACAAAATTTTGTTTTAACAAACCCTTACAAGAATTATAGCAAAATCTTAATCTTTTTATACGAGTATTAAAAAGATGTATGTGTGCGTGAGTATCTGTAATAATCATTCAAAAGAAAAAAATTTCTACTTAATAGGTATGCCTATACATTATTTTTGCAATAAAAGGTTTTTGAATTCAAAATCTTTTGAATTTATGTATGTATATGTTATGATTAATTCATATCTTATGATAAAATCGACATCTCATTCCGACATAAATATTATAAACATTTCGAAAGGTATAAAAGTTTCTTAGAAAATTTCTACATTTTCAAAGAAGATGTTAAGAAATTTCCATGAAAACAAAAAAAAAATAAATAAACAATCTCTTTACTTTATTCTTCAGAAATAATAGTTATACATCGTAATTCATATTTAAAATTAATAAACTATAATCTGGGACAAATGCAAAATTCAAACAAATGTACACAGTTTTTAGACGCGTTTTGCTAATATTTACTTGTTATTCAAGGAAATCAATATAAAAATATTTTTAAATTTTTAAAAGTCTACAATATCTAAATTTTACAAACACAAAATTTGTATATAACAGCTTCAATATATGTAAGTATGAAGGAAGCTCATAATCGAATGATAAACAAAATCCATTAGCTCAAACCCATATATTTAATGAACGATGTTAAATTAAATTTACCGTTTTTTATATCTTAATCTTAAAACTGACAAGAAATATATTTATGTTATATGTATGTGTATATCGATACAGTTTTTTAAATGTGATTAAATTTATATCCGCTATACAAAATATCCTTATGTAAATTTAATACAATCGTGTATTAAATTGAACGAAACGCTTTTCCCTTAAGGCAAAAAGAAAAAAGGTGAACAAAATTTGACGTTTTTTTTTTGTTTCTTTTGTTTTTTAATTCAACACCAATTGTAAGAATTAGAAAGTTAGGTATAGATAGATATATTTTCAGAAAATAAAATGTATGCATGCTTATAATAAATAAGGAAAATATACAAATAAGAACATCAACATAACATGTGTATATCTGTATGAAAAAATAAATGAAAAATAAGAAATTTAATTCATGATAACAACAGAGAAATTATTCGATAACAACACAGAAAAAATTCCTCTCCGATACATTTAGGTTTGGTTTATAAAGCTATAATAAAGATTTTTAAAGAAAAATCAGTTTAATGTTTAAAGAACGTTACTAACACAACGTTAATAGTTGCGACCCTATTCATGCTTGGAATTTAATATACTTAGTTGAAATGTACCACGCCAATATAATTTCCTTGTTGTAAAGAGAGCCCACAAGTATGCAATTTTCATAATTTTAAAAATTGATAATTAAAAACTCTTTTAAACATAATATTTCTGAAAACATTACGAAATTATGGCTTAAACCGAAAAACTTACAGCTTTTTATTGGCAATTATTTTAATAGAATTAATAAAAATTCAATTTAAGCTATTAAGCTTAAGAATATTACATGCAAAAGTATTAAAAACAATAACTCTGTATTACATACATACATCCATACATAGCAAAAACAAAATTTTTGAAATCGAATCCTTGATGTATTCTAAAAATCTTTATAAAAAAAATCTTTTAATAACTTTTAATTAGTCCCAATAGCATTTTATAATATTAATGTTCTTATACATATACTTTGTATACATATAGATTTAAAAATTTTGAAATATTTTAATTAATATTTCATTATGTAAGAATAATTAAACTTTCTTTCGAAACTTATAAGAATGTACTGAATATAATATAACATACATATATAAGTAAGGGTATAAAAGAAGCAATTCAAAAAAAAAATTTAAATGGATTGCAATTGTTGCTTTTTCAATTTTTCTTCTTAGACATTTTGTATTATCTTTAAAATAAATTATGGAACTATAATATTATATATGTATGTATTTATATAGTGACATTGAAGAATAGAATTAAATAATTCCAACATTTAGAAAAATAAGGATGTATAAAAGTTTATAAATGAAACGATAACATAGGTGCCCTTTAAATCTCATTCAGGTATCCTTAAATATGTAAATACAAATTCATAATATTTTGTAAAATATATATATATATATATGTATATATATGAATAATAAATATCTATATAAGGATGTTATGTTAACATTATAATTTAAAATTAAAGAACAAAGAAATTTTTTATTATATTATAGACATAAGTATACCTTAGGTGTACATGCAATTATACATAAATATTATAATATAACATACTCATATGTTTAAAGAGCATTTTATTATAAAATTTCTTTGTACCCACATTTTAAAGTTTTATTTCATGTACTGGTATTGTCATTGTTAAATTTAAGAATATTTTTACATAAATATTTGCATATGCATTATGCAAATTTGATTGAAATTTCTTGTTTACCAAAACTAAAATATTACAAACCAAAATATGAATGTAATTGACAGGATATTAATATAGATTGGATAGATCCGGGTGGAATAACTGTAGTTTGACATTCATTTTGAAATTTTTTAAAAATCATATGAAAAATTCTGAAATATTTTATATATTTGTTTGTCATTAAAAATTAAAAATTCTAAGATGTAAGTATGGCTAGTAGGAACAAGAAGTTATGATTTATATAACATACATAATATATACGAGGGCTGTCCCAGAATTAAGTAGCCTAACCAAGAAAACACAAAAAATTTTTACAAAATTTATTCTTGTTTCTCAACATAGTCCCCTTTTAGGTCGATACGCTTTTGCCAGCGGTGTTGAATTGGTTCAATACCATTTTTATAGTAAGAACTGGGAAACTCTGCAAAATAGCCATCAACGCCAGACTCTACCTCTTCATTAGTAAGTAATCTTCTTCTACCAAGCCATTTTTTCAAGTTTGGAAATAGAAAGTAATCTGAGGGGGCTAAATCTGGTGAATAGGTGCTTCTTCACGCAAGCAGTTCAAACTTCAATTCATTCATTTTTGCCATGGCGATTGCAAATGTATGAACTGTTGCATTGTCTTGATGAAACAACATTTTTTTCTTTGACAAATATGGACGTTTTCTTTGGATTTCTTCACTCAAACGCTGCAATAAGTTTGCATAATACTCGCTGTTGATTGTTTTTCCCTTCTGAAGATAAAATTTTTATGTTTTCTTGGTTAGGCTACTTAATTCTGGGACAGCCCTCGTATAATAAATATTTTTGTGTAAAATATTATGTAAATTTATAAGAACTTAACATAAAATTTTCTTAACTAAACTTTTTTAGAATAAAATTATCATACAAATTTGTTTGAAATAATTTGTTACAAAAACATTAGCAAAATTTGTACGAAATATTTGATTAAACAAAGCTAAATATTAGATATGAAAATATAAGAATTTTTGAAACTTATCTCTAGTTCCGTTCGGGGAACAAAATTTTTTAATGGAGCCAGTTTTTGCCCTAACTTATCCATTTTTTCTGCCGTTGTATGAAAACATGTATTAAGAAATGTAATCAAAAATCATAAAGTCACCCGTATAGCAATTATAGCGAATTTTTGAAAACCAAGCAAGACCTTATTCTAATAAATGACAATTGAGGAAAATTTATTCCATTTTATTTAATATACAAAATAAATTGATGAAAAGAATTTTTTATTTCAATTTTTCAAAAACAAACGAAATAGGTACAAAAAAACAATATTTACCCTCATTAAAATTTTATTTATATTATATTTGTATATACATACATACATACATATATATGTACAAATTTATATAAATTTTATAAATACAAATAAAAAAGATAAGATCAATGAAATTTTAGTCAATTTTTTATTAGAAAATGCGTTGAATTTTTTTTTTCTTTTTTTAAGATTTTCAAATCAACCAACAAAAATAATATTAAAAGGATGAAATTTGGAATTCATTCAATTATTATTGACCTTTTTTATTTAATACGTATAGAAAATTATACAAAAAAATAACCCTTAAAAGAAAATTGTATTTTATTGAAAAACAAAAATTATCCTTATTTTATAGAATACAAAATATAAAGAAGAAATTATTTCATACAAATCATTTTTAATACTAAGCGGGAAATATCAAAAAATCAAAATATCAAAAAATTAAAAAAATATCATAGGATTTCAATTACTAAGTATGCCAACAGCAGCAATTGTAGGCGGGGGACTAATGAAATTACCGAAAATATTAAAATCCAGAAAAGAGAAAGCGAAAACAAGAAGATAATTTTCTTAATTATTCACAAGTGTTTTCAGTACATACATACATACCACAATTTTTTCTCTTAAAACAAATTTCCTATTACAAGCACATAATTTGTATGAGGTTACTGTTTGTGCATAAGTTCTTCAATATTGTATTTTTTTATAAATATAATTTATGTGTGTATACATGAGCTTATATATAAGTTTCTAGGTAAATATATTTATTAATAAATATTAACAATGTACATTTCTTCATATATTAGTTAGTAATT